AAAGTTTTCTTACCTACATGATGATGTCGATTATTGTGATGAGCAATGTAGTCAAAGCGAGTTTGTACGTAGAAACGTTTTGAGGAGCTAGAAGCGTAAAATAGTAAGCTTTTAAGTTTTAAAGCGGAGTTTTTAACTACATAAGTTATAAAAACTGATATTTTGTGTAGAAGCGTTTTAGTGACCTGGAAACATAAAATCGTAAGTTTTTAAGTATTAAAGAGCGATGTAGACTACATTGGTGATGAGGTGTCCGATTTTATTTTGGCACTCGCATATGCGGGTGACAGCGCTACTAACCCCCGTGAGGAGTGTTTTAGGCAGGGACTAACGGTTTGGAAGCTCAAAGTGAGGAAGAACAACCCATACTCTTTGAGGTGGCCTGCTTCGCAACCCTGAAACTGGAGGTGGAAGCGTTACTTCCCATACCTAAGATCCCCACCTCATTAGAAGAGCCACCCGAGTTGGAGTTGAAGCCATTACCTAGCCATCTCGAATATGCTTTCTTGAGGGACGATGGCAAGCTCGCGGTCATCATAAATTCCCATCTAACATCAAAGAAAAAGACTAAATTGATTGAGGTCCTGTGTCGCTATGAGAAACCATTGCTTGGAAAATCACAGACATCTAGGGAATCAACCCCTCATTCTGTTCACATAAGATCCTAATGGAAGAGGATGCCACGCCGGTCTGGCAACCTCTGTGATGGGTGAATCCTAACCTGGAAGAAGTGGTGAAGACCGAAGTAATTAAGCTCTTGGATGTCAGGATCATTTACCCCATCTCTAACAATATTGGGTGAGCCCTACTCAATTAGTGCCTAAGAAATGAGGAATGACGGTGGTGGTCAATGAGAAGGACGAGCTCATCCCCACACTACAACAACTTCAGCCTATTATGACGAGGCAATTTTGTCATATTAGATACCAATTTTGTCATATTAGGTATAATATGACAAGAGCTTTTGTCACAAAGGTTTGTCATTTTATCGCCGTCAAGATAGGTCAAATGTGACAAAATTTTAAAACAAGGTTGTCACATTTGCTTTCAGTATAACCGAGGTTCTGGGTAGTCTATTGTGACAAATAGAGATGTTATGACGACATATTTTGTCATAACGGTTGTCATAATCGGGTGATTTTGGGAGAATTGTTTGTCATATTACACGATTATATTTTGTCATAATTGTATATTGTGACGAGTACATTTTGTCACAAGAGTTTATTGTGATATCATTATTTTGTCATAAGAATATTCTTACGAATATATTTGGTCATAACTGCATATTATGACGTGTGTAGGTTGTCAGGAAAGGTGGTTTATTTGTCTCATGTCTAATATGACAAGAGAAAAATTTGTTAGGCAATGTACATAATGTGACGACATAAAATTGTTGTCACATTTGACCTGTTTCAAAAACTTCATAACTCAAAATTGTTTCATGTATTGAAACCTGATAATGGAAAAATTACCAAAGATCCAAAACATTACAATAATTTCCATAGCTGTCTAACTCCTTGTTCAGCATAACCAAACATTCTAAGTTGTCCACCACGACACAAAATAATCTAACTCCTTTTCGGATCTTCGGTTCTCCTTTGTTCCATACTTCACCTTTTTCTTCAAGACCTTCTGAACAATCTCATGCCCTGATACAGGCTTCCTTTTGGATTAGATTTTGAAGCTCCTGGTTTTCACACTTTGGTAAACGTGATCCTGTGCCAGGAAAATTCAAGTCAAAATGTAAACCATGTTTTCAGTTTCAAGTTATGCAAATTCTTTCCTATGCCAGAAAATTCATAATGTGTCTAGTAAAACCAAACAATACAACACTCAGAACAGGAGGATGAATAGCATTATCGAGAAGTCTAATGCAACATGAGGCCACTTGACAAATCTAGTCAAATCCCTCTTAGGAGGGAGTGCACCACCGATTCCAAATTGCTTCAGACATTTCTCAACAACGGATTCACAACTTTATCCTGCGATTGAGATTTCACTAACTCAATAAGGCTTGTAAAAATTATCAATCATGACATGAGAATGTCGACTGATATGAACTTATAAAGCAATATTCCGTAGTATAATTAGCCAACTCTTTAGTAATTGGATTGGAATGGCCTTAACTAAATGCTTCTCGGCGGTTGATAATGATGACAAAAGACTGGAGATGAATGAAGCATCACAGAATCACAATGAGATTAATGAATAGAGCTTACTATAACCCTTGGGGCAGTAATAATCAATAAACCACCCAAAAGAACTCAACAATAATACGAGGTACGAAAAGTTCAGAAACTCGAATAAATCAGTGGGAGAGAATACTTACAGATTTCTTATTTGCAGCTGCTACAGGTTTAGCACCTCTTTTCTTGGCCTTGATTAGGCTGAAACTCTCACACCAGGCAAAAGCCAAACAGGCAAAGCCAAGATGGCAACCCAAACAATTGCGCAACGGCCAGATAAGCATGACTAAACAATAAGAAAATAAACAAAAATAAGACCAACAAAATAATAGAGCAACATGTAAAATGCACCCTCACCAAGACTGGTATGACTAGTTCCACAAGCAGCATAGTAGCATAAACAAAACAAAACAAAAACACGCACAATTTTATAATAAAACCCAATTACCTATACCAACATCACTATCATGAAATTGGGCATGATGCTGACCCAGCTTTACCAAGTAAGTAAAGCAGCAACGAAAAGAACAAATAACATACTAATTATCCAAAAATAATTAGTGTCATCAACTTTACCAACGAAAAGCACCCTCACCGTAAGAGGAAAATGCAGAGGCCTATTCGTTCTTCTACAGGACATGCAAAAAGAAAGAAAAAAAGTGCCCCATCTAGCAAAGCACGGACTAGCATCACAATTAGACTTAGCAGAAACCATAAATTGGGGAATCCAAAAAAGCGGTATCAAAGTTAAGGAGAATAGATAATCAGTCCAGGGGAAATGGGAGGATCCCATGAGGGAATAAAGCCCTAATCGAATTTTGATTTTCTAATAGTCCATGGTTGACGAAGCAACCATTCTTGCGGTACCAAAAAGAAGATCGGAACCTACTCCAAGCTTGGACGCGGGTTAGATGAGCCACCGTTTGGAAAATGACTATGGGTTGTGGTCGGGCGCATAGGCGTTTCTGAGATCCGGTCTTCATGGGTGAGCATCAGGTAGAGGCCATGGCAAAAGCAACAGCAGAAAAGGTAGGCGGCTAGCGGAGAGCTCTGAACCCAGAAGCTGTTTGGTGAGGTAGAATCCAAAACTTGCAGAAGAGGGCAGGAAGATAGAGAACGAAGGCGGCGGCTGCTCGCTTAGGTTTTGTCGTTTGAAGAGTAGAGTCTCATAAACTGAGGAACACAGAAAACCTAAACCCTAATCCGACAAACTATTGCGGGCAAATCCGATCATGAAAAAACCCTAATGAGTTAAATTGAACAGGGAGCCGCCGCGCTAATTGGATACTGGGGTTGATCTGGGAGCTTTGCTAAGCAGATGAAGAAGAGCAGAGTACGTAGGGATATTGGGTACCGAATCATCGATAAAGAGAGAAAGTGGAAAAGGGATCAATAAATTAAATGGGTATTAAGGGAAGATGGGTGGGTGATTTGAAATTTTCAATTATAGGGGGGAAATGTTGGCGGGCTTGGGGAAATTTTTCGCAGGACATGGCTGTAATTTAGGCGGGGTATGGTCAAATTTTGGGTGGGGAATGAGATTTGTGTCAATTCAACAGAAAATCTGTCGGTCAGGACTATTGGTTTTAGTCTAACACGAGGTTTCAGTATGACACAAGCAAATCTGACGAAAATGTCTTTTTTCAAAAACGAAACCACTATATTATGGCGAACATGCCTTTTGTCAAAACCGAAACCACTTTATTATGACGAACATGTCCTTTTGTGAGCTCGACGTGGGGTTATTGCTATCTATTGTGACAAAATACTTTGTCATTTAAACAATTCAGGAATGACAAATTTGAGAAACTTAATTGTGACACGAAATATTTGTCACATTACTCACTTTAAATGACGAACTATTTTGACAACAAGAAATTTGTCATTGCTGAGTCTCTTACATCCCAATATGGGACGCCTATTTTGACAAAATTAATTGTGACACAATATTTGTCACATTACTCATTTTAAATGACGACTTATTCTGACAAAAGTTATTTTGTCACATTAGGCATACCAAATAGGACATATATTGTTTTTGTCATATCATTGTACCTATTATGACAAACTGAAAATGACAAAATAAAAAATTTGTCCTAATAGGACGAATCTGTTGTAGTGCCACAAGAATGGTGACTGGACGGAGAGTGTGCATCGACTATCGTCGACCGAATAATGCTACCCGGAAAGACCACTTCCCTTTGCCCTTCATCGACCAAATTCTGGAGAGGCTTGCGGGTCACGACTACTACTGTTTTCTGGATGGAATATTTGGATACTTTCAAATACCTATAGCCCGGAAGATCAAGCCAATACGACATTTGCTTTCCCTTTCGGAACATTTGCATATAGGTGCATTCCTTTTGGAATGTGCAATCCCCCGACCATATTCTAGAGGTGCATGGTGGCTATTTTCAACAAGCTTGTGGGGGAGATCATGGAATTGTTCATGGAGGATTTCTCATTATTTGGGTATTAATTCGTTCACTTCTTGGATAATTTGGAGAAGGTTCTGGCACGTTGCGGGAATACATTGTGATGGGGCATAAGATCTCCAAGAAAGGCATCGAGGTTGACAAAGCCAAAGTTGAGACCATAAGAAAGCTTGCACCACCGACGTCGGTCAAGGGGAATCCGAAGCTTCCTTGGACATGCAGGGTTCTACCGCCAGTTCACAGAAAACTTCTCAAAGATCGTGATACACTGAAGAAGCTTCTGGAGAAGAATGCACCTTTTATTTTCACAAAGGAATGCTTTGAAGCGTTCAATATACTCAAGGCAAAGCTTATAAATGCCCCAATCATGGTCTCTCCAGATTGGAACCTCCCCTTTGAACTCATGTGTGACGTCAGTGATTTTGTAATGGAGCGGTGTTAGGTCAAAGGCGAGGACGTCATTTTCAACTCATATGTTATGCCTCGAAGACATTGAATGGGGCTCAAGAGAATTATACAACTACTAAAAAGAGTTGTTGGCAGTCATCTTTTCTTTCGACAAGTTTCGGTCCTATATTGTGCTTTCAAAAGTAATTGTCTACATCGACCACTCTACCATTCGATTCTTGATGAGCAAGACTGATGCCAAGCCTCGATTGATAAGATGGATCTTGCACCTTCAAGAGTTCGATGTCGAGATCAAATACAAGAAGGGAGCCAAGAATCTTGCGGCGAACCATCTTTCTCGACTTGAAGGTACCCGGAGAACCTCTTCGCACAACGCGATAAATGACAATTTCCCCGATGAAAGGTTGTTCGTCATTGTCGTAGTGGAAAGTGCAACCCCTTGGTTTGCCAACTTCTCCAGTTACTTGGTAGGAAATCAACTACCAAAGGGGATGAATACTAACGAGAAATGGAAATTTTTCGCCGACCTCCGCTACTACTTTTGCGATGATCCTTACCTGTTTAGGATCGGAGATGATGGGATCATCCGGTGGTGTGTTCCGGAGGACAAAATGACAGCTATCCTTAGCCAGTTCCATGAAGGGCCGATATGAGGGCATCACGGGGGCAACTACACGGCGATGAAGGTCCTCCTGTCGGGGTTCTACTGGTCGTCGTTGTTTCGGGATGCCGATTCGTTTGCGTGGCAATGCGACAACTGATAAAGAACAGGTAACATTTCTAACCACAGTGAGATGCCTTAAACAATTTCCATTATATGTGAGAATTTTGACGTTTGGGACATCGATTTCATGGGTCCTTTCCCGTCATCTTTTGGGAAAAAGTACATTCTAGTGGCCGTGGACTATGTCTCGAGGTGGGTGGAGGCTCAAGCCCTCCCCACCAATGATGCAAGACAAGTTTGCGGATTTCTTCAGAAATTGTTTTCACGTTTTGGGACCCCTAGGGCCATTATTAGAGATCGACTTCCAGGGACAATTTGATAAACTCCTTGATCGCTATGGTGTCACCCACCGAGTCTTCATGGGCTACCACCCTCAAACAAGCGCTCAGGTGGAGTTGACAAATAGGGAGTTGAAAATGATTCTAGAAAAGACCGTGGACCGATCCCGCAAAGATTGGTCCACAAAGCTCGATGATGCTTTATGAGCTTATCGCACGACCTATAAAACACCAATAGCGTCTCGCCTTATGGTGTACGGCAAAGCGTGCCACTTGCCTGTAGAGTTAGAGCATAGGTATTTCTGGGATACCATACTGTTAAACATGGACCAACTTTGTGTGGAAATGAAAGGAAGTTGCAGGTGTTGAGAACACAAAAATTTACAAGGAAAAGACGAAACGCCTGCATGATGCTTGGCTCAAAGGTGGCAAAGAATTCCATCAGGGGAAGCAGGTGCTCTTGTACAACTCTAGGCTAAGCCTATTCCCTGGAAAGCTGAGATCGAAATGGTTGTGCCCATATGATATCAACCGAGTGTTTCCATACGAGGTAGTGGAGATTTCCCACCCGGAGCAAGGGATATTCAAAGTGAACGGACACCAACTAAAACGATAACTCGGAGGTGTGGTGATGCCGCAAAAGGAGGTGGTGCTTCTACAAGATGTTTAGTCTGAAGGCTCCGTCTAGCTTGAGACGTTAAACTATCGCTTGTTGGGAGGCAACCCAACAGAGGTTTGTATTTCTTTTGGATGTGGAATATTGTTATGTGTAATAACCTCGCCTCGAGTGAGAATGTGCTTGTATATTGTGTTTACTCCTCCTCTTTGGAAGCTCAAATCTCCTACCCTGGAAACTGTCCCACTTTCACTCGCCATGCTTTGCGGTAACATCTCTACCCCCTATTTTACGCTATTGAGGGCAATGTCGAGCTTATGTGTAGGGGGGGTAGTTTATTATTGTGCTTGTGTTTGTGATTGGTTTCTTGGAGCCTTGATATATGCCCAAATTTCAAATTTGAGGGCTCCAAGCGTTGCATGTTCAAAGTGGCCGGTTTGTGGGTGAATATCATGTTTATTGGCATTGGCCGTGAATCGATTTCATGTGATTGAGTGTGTCCTATGATGATGACTGAGAATTGCATAAGGTGTGTGCAAAAAACTAGTTCTCATGTGTGCTCAAATGAATGGATGTCTTGACTTGGTTACTCTTTGATCACAATTGCCTTGCATAGAATTTTTTGAAATTGGAATACGATTGGGTGATTAGGTAGCCATGTTAGTTTTGTGTCGATCGTCTTCTTCTTGTGTGCTTAGGTCCCTTTTACCATGGCAAGCAACATTCACCGTTATCACTAGTGAGTATGATGGAGGCATAGGGTTAGTCCACGCCCAAAAGTTGATTGTCACGAAACATCTTATCCCCTAGTCAACCCCTTTGAGCCGTGTGACTTTGGGGGTCGTTCTAATATTAGGAGCTTTGTACTTGTTGACCTTAATGGTGATTGATAAAACGACCCCATCTCCTTTCTTCGTGTCTAAACGTGAGCCTTCCTTGTGTCTCCGAGCTCTCGCTTTTGAGCTCCATTGAGGTTCTACATAGGAGGATTTTGTACGGTTCTTGCTAGGAATGAAGAAGTAGTGTTGGATGAAGTTCTTAATAGAGAGCATTGTTCGTTAAGGGTTAAGTTGTCAAATGTTCAACTCTCTAGCACCCCCCTCGGAAAAAAAGAGAAAAAAAATAAATGGAAAGTAGAAAAAAAAATGATAAATAGGTAATAAAACTGGGTAAATAAAAGTTTAGAGTTGCCACAAAAGTCTAAGTGTATGCTCTAGAAAGGGTTTCTTGGCACTCGAGCCATTGAAACGCCTAAGTGTTTGTTAACCTCCACTACTATGATTGAGATGTTGATAGAAAGAATAAACCGAGGAAGTGTGCTTGAACGTAGTTCGTGGTTGGTAATGGTTTGCGAGAAGGGAAGAGAGGTTTTTGGCCGTTGCTAGTGGCAGTTGATTGTCGGAAAGGTTCTAATGAAACCATGAAACTTTTGGTTTTAGATTGAAGATATAGGACCTCATGCTATGTTTGCCACCACCCAAAAGGCCTTTTCCCCGTCTCCTAGACAATTTCCAGTTATTTAAACCCGTGTCTAAGAACTCCGGACAAGCTAGTGATGACAACCATTCTGTGAACTCTAGCGTTTAGAGGTTGCCGTCGTGGCGAAGAGACAATAGGTATGAGTGTTGATGGTTGTGCACATCTTTTTCACCAAATGTTCCTGACTCCACTGGTCGAGAGTGAGTGATTCATTCATGTTTTGCATGTTCATATCTTACCCCGTTGAGGACCTATGTTGCCCATTCATTTGTGTCTTGGACTTGAATTCTATGCATAGTTAGTTGTGGTTGGTGAGTAGTCTTGTCGATACTTGTGTTGGTTTGTGAACGAGGTGAGAACTTTTCATTTGCACGTTCTTGATGCATTCGAATGTCGTTTGTGATGGATGTCGGTATTGCTTGTATCGGTTCATGTGTTGATGCCCAATAGCCATTGATATTCACTGCTTTGAGCCCTTTGATATGTCCCCAAGTTATCTTGTTAGGTTGAGATATCACCTTGTTTGGAAATGGTTTGCTCGGGGACAAGCAAACGTCTAACTGTGGAGGAATGATTCGGGTCCAATTGTACACATTTTATCTCTGTTTTCCTTAGACATTTGATACATTTGTACTCCGTGAGGTGTGGTTTTATGCTAGGTTGCACTATATTTTAGTATGTTTCAGATCCTAGCAGGTGAAACTGACCCCGAAATCGAAAGTGGGACGAAAATGAGTGAAAACGAGTCAAACGATGGAAGCAGCTGAAGACCACGACGGAAGCTGAATTTTCAAGTTCTTACGCACCGTGGAAAGGGCGCCCAGACCGTGAAGTGTTGAACTTCTAGAAGCGGAATGTGCATCTCACTAGAGTCCAACTAGTTCATGCTCGCTAAGACCGTGAACCAAAAGCCCCGGACCATGAAGCGCCAAGAGTCCAGAAGTGGAATGCGCATTTCACTGGATCCCAGTTAGTTCACGGTCGCTAAGACCGTGAAATTAAGCCCCAGATCGTGAACAAACTAAGTGAAATGGTACGGATTTGCTCGACATCACGATCCAGGAAGGATGTTCACGACCGTGAACTGGGACCGTGAACTGACTTTGACCTAAGTATAAAAGGAGGGCTGAGCTGAAGGAAAAAGCAGGAGAGACCTAGTGTGAGAAACTTCTTCTTCAGCTTTGTAGAGAGAAACTGGCGAACCAAAGAAGAGAAGAAGTTAGGATTTCAATTCCAAGCAAGGTTTTGAGAATTTCTTCCCCAAAGGAGGATCTCTACAGTACAAGGAGCAAGGCTAGCATCTCCAAGATGGGTTTTCCTTCTTCTCCCTAGTGTTTTCTCCTTAACTAGCATGGAGTAGTTTCTCTTTTCACTTGGGTGTGTGTAAACCCTAGCTACAATCACGTGAATGCTTGTATGGATTGAATGAACAGTGTGTGGGTGTGTTTTAATACAAAGTTATGAGGTATTCATAAAGATTGATTGTGTTTGTGCATTTTAATGTCTTATGCTATTTTAACCTAGGTAGAGGGGAATCTCCTTTGAGTAGAGGCTTTTAAAACTGGATTTCCTTGGGTAATTTTTGCCTCCTACTTAGGTTAAATTAGGGCAAATCTCTTAATTCGTATTAGCACCTAGGAATGGTTGTAATTTGGCCGTCTGAAATCCGATTCGAGGGTGAAGTCTAGGCAACCCTTGGTTGATAGGCCAAGAGAGCTACTTTGGTAGCTTGAATCAGAATATCTTGGCATATTGATCGAGCGAGTGGCACTTGTTCACTAGTTGCACTTCCCAACGGTATACAATCACCTTTACCACACCTATGCATTCGATCCGACAAGTCATTATTGTTAGCTATGGGGAACAACACCCGGGTGAAGCCCTCTCAATTAGTGTCCAATCCTTTTAATTTTTCAAATGTTTTAGTTATAGATCGTTGTTTTCTCCAAAAAACAATTGCTAGATAATGTTTCAAACAATCGAAAACCAGAACAAAATCTAGTTTCATATAAAAGAAGTCTCATTAAGATTGGTGGTCTAAGTATTCAATTCCGGTCAAAATTTCATAAATGAATATCTTGTTCTATTAAGGAAACAAATATAACTTTGAAATTATTACGAATGATCGTATTTTTGGCAATAAAATTATACAAAACTGAGAAGTAAGAGAAAGTAAAGATTTTGAGAGAATTTTGAATTCAAAACCGTTATGAGCCCACGCTCACCTGTATCTTGTGTGTCATTTATTTTATAACGCACATCCATTATTATCTAAGACCATCCATAATATCATGATAAATTGACCTCTGACTAATAAGGGGGGTTGACCAACAAATGCTCATCTTTACCACTTATTATGAAGAAAATATGTTTACTATTGACTAGAAATGAATCCAATTTGTAGAAGGACAATTAAAAAAGATTTGAATTTCTCCTAATACAAACCAAAATCCTTGTCACAAAAGGAAAGGAAAGAGCAAAGGGTCAAAGAGTAAATACACAATTTAGGCAGAAAGAACAGTCACACCTCCCTCCAGTCTCTCTCCACTCACTCCATCAAAATGCCACGTCATCCAACACCACACGTGGCTACATCTCCACTCGCCTGTGCACTCAACCGCGTGTCGCGTGCGGGGATACCACGCGCGAAAAAACCGTCGGCAGCCCCATTATAAATAGTGATACTCGCACGATCAAAGGGGCAACTCTTCAGTATCCTTGGCACGGTTCAACTCTTCTTCCGTGAAGCAATTTCAATTCCCTTTTCCTTTGGTTAGACTTGTATGTATCCCCAAAACCCTAGAAATCCAAACTCCGATATGGACTCCACGTCGGCGAAGGAGCAGTTGCGTCGGCGGATTCATAACGACCGAGTAGCGAGCGATTCTCAGCACCCGCCTCCGCCGCCTATGAAGAAGGCGAAGCAGGAACCCGTCGGTGGTTTTTTCATGCCGTCGAGTTTTCTCGCGCCGCTGCCGCAACGGATGGTTCTCGCTCAGTATTCAGAAGCGCCGCAGCGCGCCGGCGTGTCGAGCAGCAGTGGTAATCGGAAGCAAGAGGCGGTGGTTTCTGGCGTCCGTGGAGGGAAGGTGGAGGAAACAACGGCGAAGGTCGACGACGGCGTTTCGCCGGTGGCCCGAGGGTGCAGGCAGTTCTGGCGCGCAGGAGATTACAAGGACGCCAATGGCATTATTCCTGCCGCTCACTCTTCCGGCGGTTCGTCTCAATTTAATTTTCCTTGGAATTTTTTTTTCCGTTGAATTGGAATTTCAATTTACTTTCTTGATCTTTAATTCTTTTTTTTTTTCCTCCCTTTTATACCTCGCATAAATAAAATTCTAGAATTATTTTATTTATACAACTTACATAACCGATTTTATGCTTGAAATTTTTGTCTTGGGTGGGTAATGGACAAAAGTTGAATGAATGTGGGCTTTGCATGCATGCAGTTGGATTGGATCATGTGAGAGTCCACCCAAAGTTCTTGCACTCTAATGCCACAAGTCATAAATGGGCGCTTGGAGGTAATCATCATCCCATAATAATTAAGTAACCCACCAATCATAATGACAAATTAGTTGTGTAATTAGTAACAGATTAATTCTCTTCTTTCTTGGTCTCCAGCATTTGCTGAACTTCTCGACAATGCTGTTGACGAGGTATAGATATAGTTTAATTAGCTACTTTTTCATAACTGAAATCGTTTTCTTTCTTTTATATCGTCTTCAGCTAATTATCTTGTGCGTGCATGCATGCGTACAATTTGTGTATGTTGTATGTAAATAATAGATTGTTCATGGAGCCACTTACGTAAACGTGGACGTCCTCAATAACCGAGAAGATGGCTCCAAGATGCTTCTAGTCGAAGGTATATACATTAGATAATTTTGTGATAATTAAGCTTAAGCTAATTAATCATGGTGGACTCCTATAGCTTATTATTAATGAATTTCTATCCGCAGATAACGGCGGCGGAATGACGCCGGACAATATTCGGCAATGCATGTCTTTGGGGTATTCAGTTAAGAGTAAAAGTTCAAACACTATCGGCCAATGTGAGTTTTCATTCAATTCGGGGTTTTTACAGTCGCAATTAACAACGATTTTATGGTAATTCGTCAATAATAATATTTAAATATGAACAGATGGAAATGGGTTTAAGACGAGTACAATGAGACTGGGGGCTGATGTGGTTGTGTTTTCCCGCTGCCCAGCAGCTGACGGTAAAAGGTAAATTTCTATTTGTTTTTAACTAATTTTTCACTGCGGCTAATATCCATCCATTTTGCCCTAGTAATTAGCTAATTAATCTTGATGAACATTCTGTGTACGTAGCCAAACGCGGAGCATTGGGCTGCTCTCATACACCTTCTTGAGGTCGACCAAAAAGGAAGACACTGTTGTTCCCATGGTAATTAAGATTCAGGATTCACTTTGGTTTTTTTCCTTAAACTAGATTTAATAATGACTTTGACCCCCAGGTTGACTTTGAGCAAACAGGACAAGGTTGGAATCGGTTGATAAGGTCAACTTCAGATGATTGGAACATGAACATGAGAACTATCCTCTTGTGGTCTCCTTTTGTATCCGAACAGGATCTCATTGGCCAGGTAAATTTTTTGATTAAAGTTAAATTAAACCCTTATTAATTAATATCCATCTTTCTTATGTGAATTGCTTCATAGTCATAGATAGGGACTTCATCATTGGTATTTGTTGTTTTTTTGGTACTGTAGTTTGACTACCTGGGAAATAAAGGTACCAGAATCATAATCTACAACCTGTGGGAGGACGACGAGGGACAATTGGAGCTGGATTTTGAGGCCGATCAAGAGGTAACCAAGAATCTACATACTATCTCAAATGGTCACCAATCTTTTCTCCAAGTTCTAATAAGATCATTCGATTTTTTTTCGGGGGCAGGACATTCAAATCAGAGGAGCCAACAGAGATGAGAAGAACATAGAGATGGCCAAACAGTATCCCAACTCCAAACACTTCCTCACTTACAGACACTCATTAAGGGTAATTAACACCAAATCTCTCCCTAGCTAATTATTAATTTACCTCCTAATCATCATGGCATGGGTGGGTTAGTCAGCTAACTGGGATTTCAATTTTTTTGTTTGCGCAGAGCTATGCTGCAATTCTGTACCTGAAACTCCCAACCAAGTTTCGAATTATGCTGCGCGGCTCAGAAGTTGAGCATCATGATATTGTCAAGGACATGATTGAACCTAAGACGACGACTTACAGACCACAGCAACTTGCAGATGGAATGTCGAACAACCATGAGGTAGTTTAATTCATGTTTGGTGGGAATTTCGGAGTCTTGTATTAAGAAAGAGTGTTGTTTTCGATGGGGCGATATGAAAATTGAACAAATGTTTTTTTTGTTGTTTTCAGGTTAGTGCAGTGCTGAGTATTGGATTTGTGAAAGATGCTCGCCATCACATTGATGTGCAAGGGTTCAATGTCTACCACAAGAACCGGCTAATCAAGGTAATTAGTTTGCATAAATTTTCTTTCTGTTACTCTTGTTTATTGAGTATAGTCCATTTCATTTTATCTCCTGCAATCTGAAACTGCTGTCTTGGACTTTCTTCAGCCTTTCTGGAGGGTCTGGAATGCTGCAGGAAGTGATGGCCGTGGCGTCATAGGTTCGTATTTCATTTCATTTCGATCACTGACTCAGTTTCTTACTTCCTGATGTTGGCTTCATGATTCAAACTTTAATGAAATTCGATTACTGTTCAGGCGTTCTGGAAGCAAATTTTATTGAGCCAGCACATGATAAACAAGGGTTTGAGCGCACAATAGCACTCTTGAGACTGGAGGCAAGATTGAAAGATCACCAGAAGCAGTTCTGGTATGCCAAAGTTTCAACCTTTCTTCACCTGTTTTCTTCCAAGTTTCGTTCATTCATTTTACTGTGCTGCTGTAACTTTTTTTTTATTACGGATTATCAGGACAAGCAAGTGCCATGAGATTGGGTATTCTCAAAGGGTGAAACCGAAAAATACCACTCCATCATCAAGCAAGAAAGCTAATAACAATATCATCAGCAAAAGCAGTCCTCCATCAATTCAGGATGGAGAGATTCTTGCTCTCGCTGGGTCTAATCAGAAGAGCAAGATGTCTGGTCTAAAGCGTTCTGAAAATGGTTCATCCGAAGAAGAAGATGAAGAGGGAAGAACTATTAAAAATCTTTCTATTGCTTTAAAAGATGAAGAAATTAATTGTGTCTCAAAAGGTGAAGGTAAGTTCAATCTGCTGCAAAGCTTAGAAGAAGAAAGAGTGAAGAGCAAGAAACTAGAATCTGAGCTTGAAGAGAAGACCAAAGAGCTGAAGGAAGTTGAAAAGGAAGCTCAAACTTCGCTTGACGATATTGTGGTGCTGAAACAAATGATTAAGGAAGAGAAGGAATGGAGGGATGCTATTGAGCAGAATTTGAGGGAAAGTCTCAAGGTAATGTGAATCGATAACAATTTTTGATTCTGTTGTAAAGTTGCTAAAACTGTCATGCTAACGGGAGACTTGTTTTGTGGGTTTGTTTGTTTTCTTCTCTAGAGTGCTGAGCAGACCATTGAGACATTGCAAGAGAGAGTGAGGGAGCTTGAAGGAGGTCAGGTGGAAGATGGATCAGGGTCTAGCTAAACAGTGTTGCTCAGGAATACACCTCGGCATGCGATTGTTGGTTTCAATTGAAATGATGTATAGATTGATTAGTAGAAGCTAATATTTTGTGGAAACATCTGAAAAGAACTTGACATTAATCATGAAACCAGATTCTTATCTTGTTTTCTGATATAATGTAAATTGTTACAGTCCATCTAAATCTAATAGAAGAATAGTTTAGTTTACCTGTCAGCAGAGTTTTTCTTTCTTCTTGTACGTTTAGAAGAAGATCAGTTTGGCATTTACTAAGCAGTTTTGCAAGAAAAATGTTGAACCAGATTTCATTTTCAGATAGCAAAACAACGCACTATAATCCAATACATTTCACACAAAATCCAAAATCCAACCTAATCCAGTAACAAATTTGTCAGCTACTTATTCAACAAGTACACAAATCTCTGTATACAGTACCCATCTTCTTTATACAATAGTGTAATAGTACATTATGAAATCATAAGCAATGAATTCTTAAACCCCATATGTTATGGTGGAGCAGTAGGAGGTGATGGAGGAAAGCTTGGAATCCATGTTCTTGGATCCCCCAGACTGAAAGCTGGTGGCGGTGGAGGGAAAGAAGCAGGAGTAGGTGTAAATGGAGGGAAGCTTGGAACCCAAGTTCTTGGATCCCCTAGATTGAAAGCAGGAGGTGGAGGTGGCTGAAATAGAGAAGGCACTGGTGGGAATGGTGGGAAAGGGAATGATGGCAGTGGAGGGAGTTGAGGCAGAGGAGGCAAAGGTGGGAAAGGAAATGGCAGAGAAGGCGGCTGCGGCTGAAAGGGCAATGGAGGGAAAGGGAATGGTGGCAGTGGAGGGAGCTGAGGCAGAGGAGGGAAAGGGAAAGGAAATTTATATGGTGGGAAGAAAGGGAAGAAGAACTTTGAAGAGTTGAAAGGACTAGGAAGAGACTCTTCTTCCAAATTGCTGCAAAGGGTTTGGTTAATTTTGGTTGGCTTGTAGCTCAAGGCACTGAAGCTGTAGATGCAGATGTTTTGCTGTCTGGATTTCACCGAGATTTGGTCTGTTGTGGTTCTGAGACCAGGAAGGCTGCAGCTTGAAGCTGGGGACTTGATCAAACTTGCTTGGCACATTGATTGAATAGCTGAGCCATCATCGACGCAGTCGATTCCTTCGACGTTTGGGATTTCGAGCTTGTAGACTCCATACTTGTTGGTGGTTCTGTTGACTGAGAAGTGGATCTGTTCCTCTGTTCTTGGCGAGCTTGCTCTCAGTATGCATTGAACGTGAACCTCAGCATCTGATGATATTGAAAATGGAACACCCACCAAAAAGTTATATTATAAATGTGGACGCAAGTTCACAATTGGTAACAAATCTTTGTTTGGAACGATTTAGGTTTTGGTTTAACTGAAATGAAACAAAAAAGTATTTACGAACCAAAATTAACTATTGTAAGATGAAATGTAGTATTTAATATTTAAAATCTAAATAATATTTTAGTTTCTGGTTTTGGTTTATCGAATTCCAACCAAACATCACAGTATGGGAAATAGAAGAATGAACCAAACTTATATCAAACATTATCAAAATTGGCAGAAGTTTAAGCCTGCAGTATAAAAAAAAAACAACCACAATCAAACAATTCAGTTTATGGATAACATAATAAATAAAGGCATGAAATTTAGTCTTGGGTCCGGTTGAACCAAAAACCTATAATTTTTTAATGGAGTTAATTGTAGAATCCGAATGCATTAACAATTGGTTTCGTGGTGTAGTTGGTTATCACGTCAGTCTAACACACTGAAGGTCTCCGGTTCGAACCCGGGCGAAGCCATTTTTTGATCCTGATAATTTTTTCACTCCTTGAACACTGCTATACTATGAACTGCGATTCCAACATTGGCTGTGCCTCCACATGTATCTATCTTAACTCACTACTATCAGCTATGAACTACTGCAATTCCAAAGACTGAGCTTTTGAGCATAGTAATTACCTGGCAAGAAGTAACTGTGCTTGGAGAAAGTGGAAGTGGAGCAAGCATCACAGTACACAGAACCCATAATGGTAATCCTGGTCCCCTGAGGATTGTCCGGCTGAGCAGAGATGCATAGTGAGTGGAGCGTGGTGAAGAGAATTGCAAGGAAAATGAATGGAGGAGCCATGGGAGCACAAGCTTCTTCTTCTTCTTTGAGCTAAAGCATTTTGTAGTAAGGGGGGAATTTTGTGAAAAGAACAGAACTTTTCTGCTTGTTGTTATCATTGCCTGCAGCTGTGTTCTTTTTGTTGGTTGGATTTCGGTGGGTTGTGTGGCAAATAATGGAGCCCGTGACTAGCTAGCTAGTTTGGTGTTAGGAGGAACTGTAGTTGTTTGATTGGGAAAGCATGGAAAAAAGAAGGAAATGAAATCCTCCATTAATGGATATCATTCCACTAGCTAGAAAACAAGGACATGTGAGTTCCTGCCTCTTCTTTCTTTTTCCTTTTGGCAGCTACTTCTGGCAAGTGGGCAGCTCATAGCTGTGGGGACTCGAATGCCAAATTTCCAGACTTGAAATTGCTCTCTATCTATATCATATTATCTCTCTCCCTCTCTCTCTGTGTAATCTGATCACAACCACCACCAAATTCAGGCTTTTGGAAACACAGGTTTTGGCAGCAGCAGCTGGGAGGGGCATTTGTATTTTCTACTTTGTAGCTGGCAAATACAAGTGAATTTGTGAACTTCTTTGTCCCTCACAAAAAGTGCACATATAGAGTTTGTGGTGGTAGTAAGCCTAGGCTAGCTTGCTTCAATCATTGGTTGGCTTCTAGTCTAATGCAAGTCCCTGTATTTTAACAAAGAGATATATTGAAATGAGAGTCAAAATCTAAACTCTGGATCCAATCAAAGTAGAAGAGATCAGAAGAAAGATTAATAGGTAAGTGGCAAAAATTTTGATGCGTAAACTATATTGTAGTCGTACAAGAGAATCATCAAAGTTGTAGTGCGACAAAATATTTTTGCTACAAATTAGTATAACAAATGCAGTTTTGCTCATCTCTTAGTTCAATTTTTCATGTTTATTTAATAAAATTTTATCGCCCATTATAAAAATAAAAATAATATAGAAATATTATATGATAATATTTATAAGAATCATGATAATGTGAGTGTCTAAAATCTAAAATTATTTGCACACCTATGGCACAATACTACTAGGTCTGAGCAGGTTTTTCTTTTTACCTCAAGTTTGTGATGCCAATGCAAAAAAAAAAAAAAAAAAAAAGTAAACGAGATCTTATAAAATGCATACTTCTTTTGAATGCCCAAAGTAAACAAAATTATATGTAATTGATAATTTTATCTAATTCAAAGAAACTTTTATATAGATTGAGAAACTTAAGACTTACTGATTTTTTTTATGAATTTATGTAATCTATATATCATCAAAAAGAGGTCCAAAACTGTAGGCAACAACCCTACCAAACTGGGTTAAAACAAAACAGCAGGGATAACCCTCTGATCACAACAATATCAACAAGAGGAAAAAACCTATACTATGAACCAAGAGCCAAAGCTAATCAAGTCCAGAAACTATGCAGGTTTTCACCTGGGAACAACACAACAATATCATGCTTAATTCTCTCAATAATCTCCTGGCACTATTTCTTACCACCTTCATGCTTTTGCAAACACTGTTCTCGCCAGATAGCACTGACAATAGCCCTCCAGACTGCCCTAGCCACCTGTTTCCTCACCTGCTTCCCTTTGAACTGAATAGAGGCCCACTGCAGCTCTGCATTCCAGTTATCAGTTGGAGTTCTATGGTAAGCTCTAGCCAACAAACCTGCAAACAACTCCTTAAACATACTACATTCACTAAACATATTATCTTTGGTCTCTAGAGGGTAGGAACAGAATACACAAGTAAAGGGACCACTGCCACCCCAGTTTGCAACTTTGTCACTAGTTGTAATATAGTTCTTGATTACTAACCAAACAAGGAACTTATCCCTTGGAGGAGATGGGCCTTTCCAGACTAAAGACCACCAGGGAACAAGGACATCTTGAGGTCTAAAAGACTCCCAAACCATACTGATACTATACTTCTTCATTACCTTACCATTCCACCATACCTCCCCATTCACCAGAGACATCTTCTGTGCAATCCTATCTCTGCTTTTCAATAATTTTAGCCAAATCCAAGAACCAGTTTTAGACTGGAAAGTCCAAAAATAATGATTCTTGGGCCTGTAAACCCTTACCCACGCCCACCCACAAAGAACCCTCCTGTAGTAGAATGAACCAAATATGTCTGATCACACAAGAAAGATTCCAGCTCACTAGATCTCTAATTCCTAAACCACCTTCTTTCTTAGGGAGTGCTAAATATTTCCAGGCAGCAGTGGCCCTTTTCTTTCCTCCCTCACCTATTCCCCAAAGAAAATCACTGCAAATTCTTTCAATTTCTTTTATAATCTTTTTGGGCAGAATGAACACTGCCATCCATAACTGTGTTAAACTTGCAAGCACTGAAATCACCAACTGCAATCTCCCAGGATAGCTAAGAAATTTTGTTTTCCAACTATGTATCTTCCTGTTATTTTATCCAACAATGGTTTACATGGCTTAATTGAAGTTTACCAGGGATTAGAGGCAACCCCAGATATCTGATTGGAAGAGTTCCCAACTTATACCCTGCCCTTTGAGCCATTTGTTTCTGCCATTCTATAGGGATTCCACCACAAAACAATTCACATTTTTCGGGATTAGACTTAAGACCAGAGATCCTCCTAAACTCCCCGAAAACTTTCTGAATAGACTGAATACCATGATTTGAACCATCTGAGAACAAAAGCAAATCATCTGCAAACATTAAATGGGTCAAACCCAACCTCTTGCACATAGGATGGAAAGACATTTCCCCTTCTCTAACTGCCTTGGCCATTAAACATGATAGGATTTCCATAGAAATGGCAAACAAATAAGGGGACAATGGATCCCCTTGTCTTAAACCATTTTTTGCTGAGAAATACCCCACAATCCCTCCATTGAAACCCACACTCAATTTACGAGTAGTTATACACATAACAATCCACCTCACAAAAAGATTAGGGAAATTCATTGCTTTTAATATAGTGATTAGAAAATCTCAATCCACTAAGTCAAAAGCCTTCATAATATCGACCTTGACAATACTTCTTTGAGATATGTCACTTCTATTATACTTCTGAACTAACTCATGAGCTAATAAAATATTCTCACCAATCACTCTCCCTTTAATAAAAGCATTCTGATTATGGCTTATAAGAGAAGGCATCATTGAACTAAGCCTAGCAGCAAGAATCTTTGCAACACACTTATAAAGCGTGTTACAACAGGATATTGGCCTAAATAACTTCATCTCTTCAGGGTTCTGAACCTTAGGTATTAGTGCTAACAGATTAGAGTTTATACCTGGAGGAAGAGAACAATTGAGAAGACAATGTTGCACAGCAACAGTAATTTCAGGGCCTACAATGTGCCATGCTGTTTGGAAAAAAAAACAAGCTAGGAAACCATCTGGGCCTGGACTTTTATCCCCTTTGAAACCAAACAGGGTGTTCTTGACTTCATCCTCTAATACAGGTCTAATTAGAGAAGCCTGCTGCACTTCATTCACTTGAAACTGTAGGAGTTCCCTCATTTCCTCAATAGTACTCACCTGAACCTGAGAGTCCTTTTGCCCCAACAGCCTTTTATAAAACATCTCTGCTATCTGACACATACTCTCTGTGTCTGTTACTCGAACACTATCATGATTAATCAATGATCTTATCATATTTCTCTTGTTTCTGATTTTAAATGACCTGTGAAAGTATCCTGAGTTGGAGTCTCCCACCTTTAACCATATTTCCCTTGACTTCTGCCTCAAGAAAGATTCTTCAGCTTCCCTTAGTGTTTTAACATCAGTAGGTAACTGGGCTTCTTCTTGAAAGGTTTCAGTTGAAGGTGTTTGGAAGGCTCAAGCCTGAGCTACAATCAACTCCTGTTCCTTTAGCTTAACCCTCTCATGAAGATCTGAGTACTCACTCTTATTCAGCTTCTTAAGCAACTCTTTCAGTATTCTAAGCTTTCTACTAACTCTATCCATGGGAGTACCAGCAACTTCTGAGCTCCAAGCCTCCTTCAACAGATCCCATTACTTTGCATTTTGCATCCAGAATTTAAAAAACTTGAAAGGTTTAGGGAGGGATTTAATTGAACTGTCAGTTTTAACAAACACAGGGCAATGGTCTGATACTGCAGGACTTAATATATCAACTGTGCTAGACCCAAATACATCCAACCATTTACAGTTGATGAATGCTCTATCCAACCTCCTCGCAATTGGATTTCCAGATTGCTTATTTATCCATGTGAACCATGGTCCAGAAGCCTTATGCTCAACAATATCAGTGTCAAACTGCCATTGCCTAAAATTCACCATACTAGAACTAATTCCAGACGAATTGGAGGCCTTAGTCACATCTCCTATTGCATTGAAATCCCCCAATATAACCCAAGGTGCATATTGAACCTGAATAGCACCCAGAATTACTATAAAGAACTCTTCTCTCAGCTTCCTCATTAGAGGCATAAAGCACAGTGACAAAGAATGGCAAACCAGAACAGACCATAGCATGAATGAACTGATCAGAACTGTGAAGAACCCTCAACTGTACATCTGACCTCCAAATCAGACCAATCTTACTTAAACCAGCTTCATTTCCCACTATCTTCTTCTCCCAACCTGGAAACCTCTTATTCACTAATTCCTCAGCTTTATCAACTTTAACTCTTGGTTCTAATAAAGCAATAAAATCTATATTATTTTTACTAACTAATAGCTGCACAGCTTTATTTTTCCCGGGCTCTTTGAATCCCCGGGTATTCCATGATATAAACTTCATTTCTTCTTACCTCCCCTACCCCCTCTTTTTGCAATGGGAGCAGTAGGTGTTTTCTTCCGCTGACTAACTGTAATCCATGGATTCTGAGTATCAGGAGGTTCTTCCAATTGATGTCGTCCAGAGCTTGGTGAAGAATTCTCCAAAGCACTAGAAGAACTAGAAGAACTACCCCCCCCCCCCCCCCATAGCTTGGTGATAGAAACCTAAAATTAGGTTCTACCGAATTTAGGGATTTGGTGAGAGGAATTGA